CGTGTAAACATATATTATAATTTAGTTTACATTTACGTTGTTTTTCTAAAACCATCATGGAAACTTATAAGCCTAACCTTGAATATGGAAATACCGGTAGTAAAAAGTACAGGTAGTTGGTTAATGTATATTATTCGATTGCAATGAATTTCAAATAATCATACACACAAACACAAAAACATCAAACAATACCTAAATTGCTATGCAACTTTTCAGTTTTCATATTTATAGAAATCGTAAAAAATACAATTTTCCACCACGCTCATGAAACGGACAAATGAATTTTTAAGCCCCAAGCCCCATTTACATGCATGATCCCGTTATCCGTTACAAAATCATCCAGCCATACAACATTTCAATTACCCACGTGTAGCCCATTGCGATGCACCCCTATGATGAAGGGCGAGGGGGAAGGACGATCAACTGGGGAATTCCGCAAATTCAGACTCTTCCTATGCTCTGCACTTTTGTATTCCATCGCTGCCCGGCCTTTGAAAATTCAATCAAACCCTGTATCCGAATGTTTTCATGGGACCAGTGGAAATGCTCGGCGATAAAATGCAACGTTGTAACAGCGGTGAGTTTATTTTTTATTTTTACATTTTAAAGTTTCAATGGTCATGACAGTGACCTATTTCTGATTATAGATTTACGACACCAACTTTTATATTAGAATGAATTAGCAAACATACAAATACACCGTTAGAAGAGAGAATTTCCAATGGGTTTCTTATAAAAGTGTGATTGCAAAAATGGTGTTGCTAAAAGAAAAAATAACTTTCTTTAGGTAGGTAGTTGATTAGGCTCCATTAGAACATATGATTAAGAATCTCTATGAATACTTCCATTGTACAATAAAAGATAAATATAGATAAACATATGGCACTGCAGGCTTGTTTAATGTTATCTTTGGTTTGCATATCAGACGATTGTATTCGTGAATTGTTTCTGTTTATATATCAATACAGCAACAACAGACGCTAAAAGGTAAACATTGCAAGTTCATAACCAATTATATTCGTTATAAATAATTAAAAAAAACATATTCCTATCGAGCTCATGCCTCTTAGTTGAATAAACAGGAATTTGTAAATATAAGGGAACCAAAAATGGTAATTAAAATTACCTGCAGGACTGTATTACAGTATTCTAACCATCGTGCAGTAATTCCCGACCTATGTAGATGTTTTTCAAAATGTTTAAACGTAAAAATTCAATAATTTGCAACATCAAGGTAGACAATTTTAATTTTTATTGAAAAAAATTGAACCACTAAAAGGGAATGTATGAGTTTAAAAAAGTGACGACCGTTGAAGTTTTAATTTTCTAAAAATCCAGTATAAATATACCAAAGGGTGTTGAGCCTTGTACACAAACAACCATTCAATTAATCATAAACCAACTATAACCAACCCCAACATATGTTTTTGATCCATCAAATCCCCGAGCGATTCTTGGACAAAGCGTATTTTTAAGTGGAGGGACCTCAAAGCCTACAAACCCCTCTTCAATTAAAATCTTCCACGCGGATCCCTGGAGTTGATAGTCATACAGACATAAAGGGTTGTAATCCAAAGCAAGGTCATTGGAGAACTCTTGCCTTTCTCTTCCCCTTAATCATCAATTAGCTACTGTCTCTGATAGGCCCGACGAAGTAAATATTCAAACCCTTTAATTTTCAACCCTTTTGGATGATACCACAATTGTTAAGCTTGTGTTGTACTTTCATCAGTAAATCATGGTTAGGAACTTGGGGTGTTTCTTTTGAGTGGGATTTCCTCTTGAAATCGGGCTTTAACAACTTAAGCTGTATATGTATTATGTATGATATATTTGTGTTAACTCTTTATATGATTTATCGTAATGATTGTGTCTTGGGTTAGGGCCACAGGATTATATTTGGTCTGAATTTGATAAATATACACCAATGGAGTTTAGTTTAATTAGAAATGTATAAACATAAAAGGTCATCAATAAAAAAAATATTCAAGCATTTAACAAAGGGGTTTTCTATTGTTGAATTCCATCTAGTAGCTCCTGAAATGTTTAGTATAGACTAAACTAACACATACCTCGTCTTGCAGTTCAAATAGCGTGTTTTTAATCCACTAATATTTTAAGCCTTATTTGGCATTTTCAAGTGGTAACCTTATATCCAAATTGGACTCGCCAAGTCGTAGAATTTTACATTAAAACATAAAAAATGTACACAGATTTACACGTTCGAACAAAAACATTTATATGTGTATGCCTACAAAACTAAACGACCACGGCACCGACGAAGACAGACTCATTCAGACGAAGTTATTCCTTGAATTTGAAGAATTTGTTTTTTAATTTGTGTGACGGGTTGTCGTTAGAAACTAAGGCTCCTATCCTGAAAGTGCTAGTTTAAACTGGGCCGATCACCAAAAAGCTGTTAGCTATATTACACTATGGCCCAGTTTTTTAAGTCCACTACTGTAGGTCCATTAAAGAAATAGCATACGTCTCAAATTCAAAGAGAACTTATCTTTAAGAAAACCCTCCTTCCTTTTTAATGCCACTCAATAGATTTTTTTAAGCAGTGAATATTTTAAAACTTACAGTATGCGAATCGTATATGGTATATTTTCAATTTTTTATTTTAATATTCCTCAGTTTAAAGTTAGATTTTAATTTAAGTAGGGCCTACATGGCTTGATATTAGGGGCCTTCTTATACTCTAAAAAAGTAGAAAAAATTACATTCATTAAGTACAGCCGAATTTATATTTTTACGGACTGAAATTTATACTATATATTCGTTTCATCACTATGACATGAAAACTTATCAAAACTATCTTTCATCCTATAAATTTACAGGTGACTTGATATTAGCTTGACCAATTACATTAAACAATCGGTATTTTAAAGAAATCTGTGGGTCCTGAGCTATCAAAAATGAGCCGATTTTCGAAATGTCTAACTATTGTGTCAAAGGGTTGACACCAGACATAAATCGACCTTAATTGGAGGGTGAGGACAAGAAAGCAATCAAGATATCATTTACTGCGATATATTGGAGAGGGTGCACGACTAGGTGGTGCTGGGGGAAATGTAGGGGGGGGGGAGAGATTATTGTCTTCCAAGTCGGCTCTTCCAGCCCTTTGTTTCTATTATTGCTATAGACGATGTATTGTTAACAAAAATGCTTGTGATGATTAGCAAAAAAAATTATGTTTGTGTTATTCAGGATAACAAAGTTATGATGGTTCACATTGGTTTAAGGTTTTTGAGTACCTTGTTTTAAAGAAAAATCCAAGATTTCTAAACACTAAGTTATTTTATTTTGTGTAAAGTAAAAAATATAATCTGATGAATGAAAAGTTACTAGTTATTGTCATGTGTAAAAATAAAAAATTAAAGTTTATAAATAAACCTTGTTATCCTAAATCGTTAGTCTATAACACACACTCAATTAAGAATATTATAAATGTAAAAAGTATTTTTTTTTTATTTTGCATATATAACCGGCGGAATTTTCTAAGTTTTATATTGCTCTTTTACTATGGATACTAATAAAATTTGCTTGAGTTTTAGCCTCCGTATTGATTTGAATCCAGTACTATAATTGTTATGCATGTACTGGCTTCAATGCCATCCACAATGATGCAACATGCCAAATAACAAATAGCACAAGTATTTATTTTCAGGTTCATTACTGGATAATTTTAAGATTGGCATATAACGCCTCTTAAATATGTTTTCATTTATTTAGTAAAGGTTATCGTTTTACCTTTTCTAATCCGTGTACGTCTTCGTCATACACTCCTCATTTATAAATTTTAAAAATATATTTCCACAGGTAGATCTACTAGTATATTTTGTCCTCCTAGACCGTATCAACGCACTTTTTATTAGTGTACCTTAATACAAAAATAAAAAAACCGAACAGACAGTGAAAACAATTTTAATATCTAAAAACAATAAACAAACGCCATGTTGTAACTTCACTTACAATAGAAGTGTCAAGTTTGTAGATTTGACGCAGCGTCATTTGCTTGACAAACATTGGCAACACTGAATTCCCATTAGAGCCCGCCCGGGACTGTGCGCATTGCCGCCAACTGTCAAGTGATAAACGGTTAATTGACAGCTTGCAGAGTTTCAGTGGTGTTTGAATCCCATTATTGTTTATATTTCTTTAAAACTCATTTTTCTTCTCACTGCAGCATTATTAAATTACATTTCTACAAAGTTGAACACTTTTCTAATTTAATCAATGATCAGTGGTTTTCGGTTAGAATTTTATTCAATTACTAAAATTGTATTATCAGATTTTGGGTTTAGACAGAAATGAGAACTGCGTTTTGATTTATTTTAATTTTCTTTTCATCATTTTCATTTTCGTCCAAGGCTTGTGTTTATTTAACATGCTACAATTCATACGTTAAATATGCTTTTTTTGTTTTGCAGTTTTGTGCTACATTTGAGATTCATTTAACAATGGTTTACTATTTTCATTTTTATTCACAATTGTGCTTTGTATAAATCGTTTGAGGAAATTGCATTTATATACTTCATGGTATGTTTATCATCAGGAATCTCTTAAAGATATTGGGTTGTGTTAATTTTAATCAGCTTATAAAGATCTTAATACTCTATTAATTACCAAACCCTAGAGTAATGGCATCTTGCTGACTATAGTCTCATAACTGAACAAGCTTACTAATTTATTTCATTAAAAGACTAATAAATGCATCACATTTTCTATACAAGTACTTCGTATTAATCATCTTCATTGTAATTGCCTTTTTTTAATTAAAAAACTAGAATTTATCATTATACTTAACTGGTATTACAAGTAACATATTTTTACAAACTAAATATACTAATGTTAACTTTGTTTCATAACAATTAAGGTATATAATTTTGGGCATTACAAAGTAGGATTTTTAAATTTTATTTTTATTTTACCGGTAGTTTATTTTATCCACTTAACAAAAGGTATGCATACTAACATTGTGTTACTGTTAACAGGCCGATTTTGCGACACGCGGTTAAGGGGTACGTAAGATATTAGAATAACATTACGTAACTGGTTAAACACATATGCAGTAAGCTCATATCGGCTTGGCTATTAAATGGTGGAAGGTAGGGACTAAGCTACTGCTTATTGCTTTGTTTGCTTTTATTTAATGTGTACATTGCTTTAATATAAGTCCTTAAATTTGAGTCTGAGTCTAATAATAGATGACCCACGTGCAAAACATTAATATAAGAGAATTTCTGATTCGTTTGGTTGCTTTTAGAATAACGCATGACCGTCATTCTTAAGTCGATTATTGTTTCCGAATAATTTTAGTAGCAAAATGCATCCATGAATATAATAATGTAAGGCTACTACATTAGCTATAATTTCATTTAGCTATAATATACGCTATAACTGTTTAGGGACGTTTTTAAAATTGCCACTTTTTATACAATTTTTCTTCCAAGACAAACTACCTAATCGTTATTCATAACATAGAAAAAATTTCAAAGCTTACTTTAAAAAAATTCTATCATTCTTTTCTACAAAATAAAAAAGAATAATTGATAAATGTGATGCACTCATAGAATTTATCTCCATCTATGGCACTTTTCCCACAAATCTTGTGTCTTCTCAATAATGAAATCGGAAATATACAGGCAACTCAGATCAAATATTTAATTTCCCCAGTCAACCCCATATAAATGCTTATACAATAACAAAACTAAATTCAACCTATTTCCCTTGTATATTAGTATTTTACACGTTTCTACCACTTAAATTTACATTAATAAAATTTGCTTTCAAACATGGTTTGCAACTGATTAACGTTGTAACGACTCAATATATTTATGCTATTTATTTTGATGTATTTTTTATTCTGGAAATTCTGTTTACGAGTTAAGGATCAATCAAAGTTTTTCTGTTGTGCAGTAAGTTTTTTGGGCTATAAAATATTTAAATTATCAAGGTAAAGTCCTTAAATGTTAACTCTTAAATCAGATATGGTTTTCGTACAAAAATATGTAATTCAACACATTTTTATACTAAATATGTAATATCAAACGTATTTCATTGATCAGACGAAATAGCGAGGACACTAACACCACTCGATAAATACACCATACATCCACAACATTAACGATCTCGTTAAAGGGGTTGTTTTATAATGAGGGGCTCAGTGATGCGGGGACAACAAAACATATCCGGTTACATGTTTTAGGTTATGTGAGAACAATGTAAATTGGATACAGTCGCGTAACATAATACACTAGAACGGTGCTCATTGTTGACGAGTTATACAATTTCACACTTTCATCATTTGTTTCACGTTACGCTGCATAAATCATTCTTGTTAGGTAAATATGAGTAGCGCTGAGTTTTTTTGCTTATTACGTGGAATACAGTTTTATAATGCGTGATTTACTGAATATATTGTGCGCTATGTTTTTGTTATCCTATTTTACTTTGAAGATTTTAAAAAATCATTATTAAGACCCTATAATTGAGGAACCTTTCGCCTTGGAAGAAAAAGTAAGAGAAAGAAAATTATATTACAACTTTTTAATTGGTATCCATGTATTCAATGAAAATATTTTTGATAACTTTGAATGGATTATTAAATTAATATTTTCAAAACGTAGATTATTTGGTATAACAAATAGAGAAGTTATTACCTAGGCTATATCATTTTGATATTGTCGGCTATATAAAAATAGTCTACCGTTACAAGAACAAAAAAAAGATTTTACTACTTTTAGAAATACTTGAAGTGTTTTAATCTCTTTTTGATGACTGGTGGGATTTTTTTTAAAGAATCCTTGTGTTTTATCCCCTAGACTAGTGAGAATGCTGATGTTTATATAAGACTATAACTGTATAAGTGTACGAGTTAGGAATATAGATGTGTTTAGAAATGTATCTGGTTTATAACCAGACAATAGTTTAATAACAAATTGATCCAAGTTCACAAATCGATAAATTATGAAGTTTAACAACATATTACATTTTTACATTATGATTTTAGTTTACATTTAGAGTATACCAGTACATGTCCCACAAAAATGAAAGAGGAAGTAAAAGTTTCTCTCAACAAACCGTTGGATGCCATTGATATTCTGGAAGGGATCATGAACATAAATCTTATGACCTCTTCGAATGCCTTTGTTGACATAAACATGTTGCATGTTTTTATTCACACATTGACTTAGTAAAATTTACTTCTGTATTTATATATAAGAACATCATATTATGACAACAAAATTGAAATTGAAATCTTTGAAAGTTGAGATAATTATTGTTGACAAACATAATTATAGGCCTATAAATATATTAACTATTTTAATAGGTTTCTTATATTAAAAGGTTGTAATAATTCAAAAAGTAAAAAAAAATAAATTTGTTTATTTTTTTCCAAAATGCTGGTAACATATTAAAATCATATTGTTAAATAATGTTTACGTTAGGCGTACAATACATGTATAGTTAAATTTTTTCAACGTTTTTTTTTACATACATATATAGTTAGTTTTTCAGATTGTAAAGATAAAAACCGGCGATAAACTATTTTAGAATACCCCCGGTGCAGAATACCTGCAGAGTAAGCCGATTACAGTTTGCCTGATTAGATGTTCACCAAAATATTAACTGAATCATGACAGAATAATGCCCTATTTAAATCAATAGTTTAAAATAGTAATTCGGTTAGCGAAATGTTCATAGATAAGTTTTAAATAAATAAATAAGCCTAATAAAATCAAAAATATAACCACAAACAAGCATACTACAAAAGGGTATTATTCTCTATAAGAATAAAAAGATAATTTAAAATTTTTAGTTTTTGGGGATTTTCTCCTTAACCAATAGTTGTAAAAATATGCTTCAAAATACTGAACTATTTTTTCCCCTACACCATGGTTTAGAAATAAATGGTATATTACTATTTTTAGGGTTCGAAAAAGGTAAATTTGATTTTTAACTTACACTACTGCATTCCAATTTTCTCACCGTACTAATTCGAGGTCGATCTAATAAAACGTAGGTTTACACTTTTTCACAATTTTATGAAAAATGGATGTTTTTTACTCGAATCCATAACTGATGTAAAAATAAAAATATGAATTTAAACGGATGGTGTTTTTAGCATAGAGTTACATTACATAAGACACAACATTTAATAAGTAAATAGATTCTGGATTCAGGTCTTAATACGAGTCCTACGCTAATTAATCGCTTATTCCCCGCGTGGGAATAAGTTTTAATTTCTAATTCAATACTTAAGAAACCCATAGCACAAAATATATTCGTTTCAAAACCTCTTATCATGTTTCATTTCCAGGTGACTGTCGCTGCTTTCTGATATGTACACTACATAGATTCACATTTATTTAAAGATTATGTACGAACATTGACGAACGAGAAACATGATGTTATTCCATAGTGGAATCATGTAAGCCCGCCAAAGTGTAGTTGTATAGAGCCCGTTGTATACACAAACGATTACCTATCTTGCCAGCGACGTGAACGATTTTCTGAACCTCTCGAATGGGATTGTTTTCCTATTGCTTACCCTTATACCCTTACAATTTCCCTACGAATGTTTTACAAACAATAGGTATCGAAATAATCCAAATATTTGAGATAGCCTTTAGCTTACAAAGTATATTTAATTATATTCAGTATATGACTGACTTATACGCCATTTTAAAGTATTAAATGCTTCTTTTTTACGATCGGTTTATCACAGAGATTTATATTACTCATTTAGTGAGACTTTGTATTTTTCTGATCACTGATATTAAATTAGAAAATTACCTTGTTTAGTATGAAAATAGCTTCCTTTTAATTTTTTGACCTGAAAGCAAAACGTAAAACAAAATGTATACCCCCGCCTCAGCAAATCTGTCGTCCAAGTAAATTTCCATTTGCCTCAATTTATTTTTAATTAAATATATTCAAATAACATTAAGTTTAGAGAGTACATAGGAATGCTGGTACAGTGAAACTAATAAAGTGTGTTTTTGGTAAAATATTAATATGTTATTATAAAATAAAAAAATTTGTTAAGTTTGATAAAAATATATCTATAAACAAGCAAAAACAACATCTTACAATATTCTTCATAAGAATAGCATGGGAATTTTAAATTTACAAATCTCTGAGTTTTCTCCGTTGCCAATGACCGTACAAAAACACTTTGGTATACCAAATTTGTTTTTAAGTTCTTCATAAATGTCTGGAGGGAAATTAAGAAATGTTGTGTTTTGAGAGTCAAAGATGAGAAAACCCATTTTTTACCCAATAAAACCCCGTTTCCATGGTCCGATCATGCTTGTTCGCGAACTCATTCAAGTTTACCCCGCCTTTAAATCAAATTTCATCAAAATCGGACATAAACTATTTAAGTTATCGCGTTCATATAAAAAATTTTTTAACAAATGGTGTTTTTGGCCTCTGGGGATATCAAAATGAAAAAGTAAATCTGTCCCGGGCCTAGGTCTTACCGTGACACCTACGGTAATAGCTACTTCCCCTATAGGGAAATTCGTTAAAACAAACCAGGCTTGAGAAATTACAACAATATGTGACGTGTACTACCAGTATCCGAAGTCAATGGTGTTATTTAAGCTGGGAATAACTGTGAGCCTCGGCCACAACAGTGTCCACCGCCTCATCGATATTCTGCCCACAGCTGAAGGTATAAACCGGATAAACGTTGTACCTCTGTATATACAACCCTTCCTTCACCCCTCCCCCTTGATATACAATCCCCTACACAATACCTCTCTACACCAAACATGATCATCCTCACACCAGTGTAGTCAGCGTCACTTTCATAACAAGGAATAAACAACTATTGTTTTGGCTCTGCTAGAAATCATTCGTCATGGGAAAATTGTATTACTCCACGACATAAAATGATGACTTGGTACTATTTTATATGTACAAAATGTTATGTGTAGGCTGTGTACTGCAGGAATTCTACTTTAACTAGAAATTAAGTTTTTCATGGATTCAAAGCACTTTTATTTACTTG